TATCAAATCATAGGGAATAGCTACTTTTGTGGTTATTGGATGTTTTAAGTCAAAATTGAGTGTGGTACCCATATTTGTGGGTTTCTAAAACCAATTAGTTGTTAGTATGACTTTCAGTTTATGTATAGTTGTATGCAGGAAGTTCATTTGAATGTGAATTGTTCCTAATGTAATTGCTTCCAAAGAACGTGTCAGGGGAGTGACAATTGTACATATAAGGGTAATTATCAGACCTATGAAACTGTTCAGTGATATGGTTAATTTTTGTGGAGCTGTTTATTTTGTAGGGAAAATGTCAACTAAGATTTGCAAAGGAATTTGAAATAATAAATTGGGTCATACTCGTCTTCAGGGACCGATAATGATTATCTACATATACATGTTTTTTATCATGTTTAAAGTGCAGAAGGAAATGTATATTTTATTTTATTTTGAAAATCTTGCTGACTCCGCAACTATTCACGTTCAGATTTTATTGTTAGTTCCCCAGTTTGCTTTAAGATATTGCATTAAATTTTACGTTTCAGTCAGATCTTTTTACTTCAAATTCTACATTGGATTAGTCTCTGGATCTAGCTAATAGTTTGGTACATAACAACACTCACTTTGTGTTTTGTTTCATTTTACTCAATATTTAATTAGTGACTGATTCTGTCACTGTCACAATGTAAATATATTTCCTTTGTTTATAATTCTGTAGTGGAGTAACCCACTGGATATTACTAAATAAATAAGTAAATGTACAAAATAGATACTGTGCTTTACACAGAAATCTTTTGGAAATCCATTTGGATGGGTAAATACCTATGCGAGTGAGGAAAAATCATGGTTTTCACAAATTTCAGGAATATGGTTCTGTAAAAGCTGAAACTCATGTAAATTCTTAAAATCATTGGAAATGTATGCCATGTTTGAAGCTTCAGAAATATGCATTTTTAGAAAAAGCTCTCCCCTCTTGTGAGAATCTCTTTGTGAAGAAAACATCACAAAGGGAGATAAGGTATTTTGTGCTTAATTCACAAAACAGGGAATACTGAAGCTGTGTACCCAGAACACTGATGAATGTTACCAGAATTAGTCTACTTGAAAGTTGGCTTGTAGCAGACTTCTGCAGGACATAAAAGATGGAGAGTAGATTTTTCTGAAACAAGCGTGGAGAATTGTCAACTCTAGACTTACAGTATCTGCTGATCCAGCTTGAATCCTGAAATGAAGTGCTGAAACACTTCCAAAACTGTGTTTTTACGGAATCTCCCAAGAACTAGCACCGACTTAGGTGGCTCAAGGCATCACCTAATGTCACTGCAGTCTCCAACCATTAGGTCCCAGGGTTTGAGTCACGAGGTGACAGAACTTTCGACGTTAGATTGTAATGACCCTGTGAAGAACCACTACAGGGAGGGAAGGGGGTTACCGCCACACGCGGGGTGCGTCGGTGAGTGGTTGATAACTGGGCTAAATTGACTTGGCGTTAAGCGTGCATCTTTTCTGCCATCTCGCTCAGGCATTGAGGATTCCAGGAGCTGGCTCTCTGGGTCATAGGATTGCATTATGTTTACTGTCTATTACAATAATACACAGATGGAATTTATCCGGCCTTGGACGCCGCTTATGGCGGGAACACAATTATTACCTTGTAGTGCAACAGAATGGCACAGACATTCTTGTGTTTTCTATTTCCTTGGGTCCGGCTAGCTACGAGCATTCGAACTTGCCACATACTATTGCCTGCTGCCCATTTATCGCCTAAGTACTCTTTTTTTTGAAATTTTCTTAATTTTTGTTTCCCAATAGAACGGAAATAGTATTTTAAGAATATTTCAATGTCAGTAAAACTACGTTTTTTTGGCTTTGAAAAAAATAGTAGCAGCTTTTAAGATAATAGTGTTTAAGCGCTACTGTAAATTCAAAAATTGAAGCTCTCAAATTTTTTTAATTTTTGAAAAACCTCAAATTTCATTTGAAACAAATAACTCACAAATACAAGTGTTTTGTGTTTACAAATTGCTGAAAATGTGTATATTAACGGCGTGAGAGATCTGTCAAAAAAATTACATTTGAGTATTGTTAAGTAGGCCCAAATTTTAAAGAATGTTCTTCAAAATCTCAGAACTTCGAATTTAGCCAAAGAAAAAAAAAGTGTGGATTAGACGTGGTTGTGTTCAAATAGACGTTTTGAAAAAAAAAAAAACTTTTTTCGTAACAGGGGATCCCAAAACGTGTATTTCCGTAGAAGTATCGAAATTGATTTTCCGCAGCATTACATAACATTCCCTACACAACTTATATTACTCCCTTTATACATACGAATGCGGGAAAGTAAAAATAGTTTTTGTATAGAATTTGGATTAGTAATTCTATTTGGCAATCTCTTCTGTCCAGACTTATTTCATTTAATGGACATTTTTACAGTTCTTACAGTTATGATGGTGATTTTGTTCCCTCACTTCTGTGGGAGTATACGCTGGCGGGATGTCACCGGTCAGTTTCACGTTTCTGTGGAATACCCCACAAAGCGTGGCTTGAAGAGGCACTCGGCACAAACGATCTTGTGCTCCCGTTGTACGTGCGAGGATAGACAGCAGCCGACCGCAACTATTCTCGAAGAGACGTTAATACGCAAGTCGAGGCCGTCACACGCGTCTCAAGCGCGTTCATGCACCCGATAAACGGACTCCACACCCTTTTAAGTGCTTTCGAGTCTCGATCCGACTGATCCGTCACTTGGAATGAATTCCGATACTAAGTGATGGTTGGATTGTTTAGGTTGGCCAGTCGCGCGTCGGTGTATTGTCGAACCTGTCATTAGTTGCCTAAGTCTCGTCTGACGAGTATGCCTCCCACCAGCTCGCCCAATCAAATGTCTCTCACTGAATCGATTGATCAACTGTTTTCAATCGAGTTCCCGTCTCAAGTCTCGTCAATAGAGTTCCCTCAAGTGTCGTTTTACTAGCTCCTGTGTTGCTCCCTCACTTTCTTATCCCCACCCCATTAAGTAACTGCTGTGCTCTGTCACATGCGTGGTGCTTAGTTTTTTACTGGTTTGTTCATCAGGCTTCTCAAACCTTCTACTGGCCTGATTCTTCGATTGTATCTTGGCAATCCCTCCCCTTAGCGTCCTGTTGTACTGTATCTTTAATTGATTGCCATTGTGCGATGCGTGCTCATGACACCCTCGCGAAATGGTAACGGAATAACCTCCATGATGGTTTTATAAATTCACTGGCAAAAGTTCTTTCCCTCACTAGATCTACAATGTTTAATGGCTAATTCAGAATGATCCCTTGCGTGAAGTCTGTGATGCAGGACAGCAGGTCAAGGCAGTTAATCTCATGGATGTGATTGTACAGGAACAAAGAGTGAAACATCACTCTTGTCACCTTTAGTAGTCCTGTTCATTCTCTGATGTATTTATAGTTGTGATCGTAGATGGTCTGTGGGTTTCCAAGCCTGGGAGCAAAAATTCTCAAGAATCTGTTGGACATTTTCTAGTACTATCACTGGGTCTGACTAATTACTTGTAAAGAAGAGATCCAGAAAATTTTGACATTTCTGTGGTGCACGATTCATCTATTTGTTGATTTCTGGTGTTAAATTTTGTACAAACATATTTCTTATAATACCGAGCCAGTAAATAAACCATTCAAACAATTTCTGTTGTGTGGTGAGGTAACTTTAAAGAGCAAAGGCGGAATATTACTCGTTTAGGAAGAAACCTTCCTCTAATCTCAAGTTTAAAAGCCAGGCTTATAGTCGGAAATAGGAAGTAAACTATTTCCCTTGCCTATGCAGATCATCTGAGATGAATGATATCATGATACTTTTGGTAATGAAGATACAATGCCAGCAGTATTCATGGAATGAATTCAAAATTTATCGCACTTTTGCTAGGTCTCCAACAAGGATATTCTAAATTTTGCTATTTTCAATGCGGTTGGGATAGCGGAGATCACAAAAATCATTTTGTGAAGTACAGGCCTCAGTGCCATCTGATTCCTGCACAAAAGAATGTAACTTTGCAACCCCTTGTATACTGCACACCCATATCTTCCTCCCTTGCACACCAAACTGGGATTGATGGAAAATTTGGGAAGGTGATGGATAAAAGTGCCTGGTTTCCCATACTTGAAGAACAAATTCCTGAGGATCATTGAAGTAAAAATTAAATATTTGTTTGATCAAAATGAAGGAGCTTATGAGGGATCATGTGTCTTTGAGGCAAGTTTGAATAGTGTTGAAAAGGCTGTATTGATGTCTCTTCACAAACTCGTGAGGGAATTCCTTGGTAACAGAAAAGCTGAGACCTATGAAGAAAGTGTGGGAACACCTTCCCAATTATAAAGCTAGAGATGTAAACTGTTCCTTAATATACATACTGTGTATTCACCCTTACACTTCTTTCCTGAAAATCTCGGTGCTGTGAGCAACAAACCTTGTTAGCGATTCCACCAAGACATTACAACGGAAAAATTTATAAGAAAGAATGGGATCAAATATGCTTGTAGACTATTGCTGGGTACTAAAGAAACATATACTCAAACAAAATACAAACAGTAAAAAATTGTTCAAAATTACATTTTGTCTGAGATATTTATATGCAAGTAAAGAAAACCAATAACTTAACAACAGTGTGTACTATTTAATATCTTGTTACAAATAATTGCATTACAAATAATTGCTCCACAGGAGTCAAAGGAGTGCCATTTTGAATTGTGTGTGTTTCTCAGGGCCCAACAAAATATTATTTCGTATTACAAGGTGACTAAAACATGATAAAACAACTCTGTATCCATTGAAAATAAAGGAAATGATTATGTGACCTCAAGGGTTGTTTATTTTCTTACATCAAAATCATTTGTGCACACTATTTATTGTGGAATGCAACAAAAAAAACTTAATAAATTTTGGTATAGCATTTTATCATCGCGTAGTATTCTAGTAATAATACAGTTAATCAAGAATGTAATAACTTTTTTATTGTTTATGCTTTTTTTGTGTAGGTAAATTACCTGATGTTCACTCTGTTGCAGGTGCGAGTAAAAATTGAAGGGGATAACGAACCACAACCCACAATTCCTCGTGAAGAAGGTCAAGTTCCTTTTGTGTTTGTAGGTACTGTAGAAAGCATAGCCAATGCGAAAGTTCTTTTGGAATATCACTTAGCACACCTAAAGGTAAGTGGAAAGCGATAAGCAAAGTTTTGTGAATTAAATTGAAATACCATTGTCCAACTGATATTTCACAGTGATAGTTTTCAGTAAGTTGATTTTGTTGCAACTTTACAGGAAGTAGAAGCTTTAAGACAAGAAAAATCGGAAATTGATCAGCAGTTACGAAGTATACATGGTTCTACTATGGCCTCAATGCAGAGTTTTCCTTTACAAAGGCGCAACGATAGGTAATTTTAGAAAAAATGTAGCCATTTATTTATTTATTTTTCAATATATGTCCAGCAAGTTCCCCTAATTACAGGACGATTTGTGACGAGATATTAACAAGATCTGGCGTTTATATAATTAGCAATACTTTTGGTTAGGCACATGATGGAATGAACAAATATTGCATTCTCATGATTTATAAAGCTATTTGTTTAGTTCCATCATTTTGTACAGTCTAGCTGTGCAAGAGTATGTTTGATGCAGGTTGAAAGAGGAACATCAGAGGAAGTTGTAAATGCTGAACTGTAACCAATATAATTAATTACGTTGATTTGCGAGTCATGGTAAGATTCAATCAAGTGTAGATAGGTGGAAGTTCTAGGTGACGCAACTTCTCAGTGATGTTCAGATGAAAATTAAAGCTTTCTGAGACATCTTTATATAACATTTGTTGATTCAATTCTATCTAGATCTATTCTAATTCTAATCAAGATGAAATATGTTTAGAAAATGTAAGTTTGTCAAAGTCGCGCAAGCCTGAAGAAAATGCATGCTGGTTATCAGAGACTTTAGATTAAAATGCCACATAAATTGTGTCTTAAACATGGTTCACAAGTTTTTTTGAGAAAATTTTAGATTGTGTACTTAAATTTCAGAGCGATTACCTTAAATGGGGATGACTTTTATCTGGTTTCACCCCGAGGAGATTGCCTTGCGATATATAATCTTAAGTGGTGTCGCTACATATGTACAGCATCTCCTAAAGAATAAAGCCAGGTCATTTATCTGGGCCTGATGTCAGGCATTTATTGGAGTTAGTGAATAATACCATATTTATTAGCATATAAGAAACATTCTTAGTCCAAACGGTCAACAAAAATTTGAAATTCGAAATAATGAAATTATATTTTCGAATTCAGCATGATATAAAAAGATGGGGGGAAATTTTTTATTACATTTTTTATTTAAATTTAATTTATTTTTATCTGAAAAATTCCAACCTAATACTATACATAGTTTTGTCTAATATTTTTTTTAACACTATCAACTGATGTCAAGCAACAGAAAAATTGCACAAGAAAAAATTGTTGCAGGTTACTGCAAGGACATAGAGGGCACAAATGGGTAAAAATCTTCAAAAGTAGATTGTGAAAATACGTTGTCATATTTTTCCAATTTTCCAAAGCCATTAAATTTCACTATTGTGAATTCCAAAAAATTTCAAAAGTTGAAATTTTTCCAGCTTATTATTACAATTACAAAATTAAAGGTAGACATTTTTTATTCAAATTCAATTCAGATAGAAACTGAATGTTGAAAAATTAGCAAAAAATTGTAATTAAATGATTGTCTTCCCAATAAGAAATTATTTTGTAAGATAAAAAAGCACTTTTTATCATAAATTTTGCAATACAATTGCTCGTAATTCTGAATCCTTTCAGTAACCCAAGGATGAAATTTTTGTAGGCATAAAGTAAAAGTATCTAAGAGTGTTTTTGGTTTTGAAAATTGAAAAAAGATGACGTACTTTCACAATCAACTTATAAAGATTTTTACCCATTTTTGCCCTTGCATTTCATGATCTTCAATTTTTCTGTTGATGGACATCAGAAGATAGTGTTAAAAAAATGTATTAGACAAAACTTTGTGTACAGTCTTGGATTGGAATTTTTTAATGCAACAATATCGGAAAGTTTGTTAAAATCGTTAAAAAATTTTTAGATAAAAAATGCAGTTTTAAAAAATCCACCCTTTTAAATGTTGCTGAATCTGAAAATATAATTATTTGCAATATTTTTGAACCTTAGATATTTTGTTGACTGTTTTGACAAAGAATGTCCTATACGACAAGATTTTTTTTCTCAAAAATCTCATTCAAACAATACAGGGTGGTCATACATTTGCAGATTAAGTCTAGCCTGTCAAGTTTTGTTTATACATTGCGTTTCCAGGTCACAAAACTTTTAAATGTTGATGTAACAATAAGTTGTGATAAGAAATATATCGCACATATCTATTATATTATTATTTGATTACTATAACAACATTATGGATTGAAACCCCTTTTTTGACTATTTAGATAAATGTTTTTTAATGTGCTGGTAAAGCGATAATTCCAGAAGAATGTTATTGCCATCGAATGAAATGCGACATGAACAGAAATAAAAAAAAATTCTGAGTTTGTTACCCAATGCGTTATTTGATGAGGCTGCACGGACTCTAGGTTTGATACCTGGCGAGTGCGGAAACTCGTTTTGCAAGGGATGGAAATAAAAAATTCACATTGATAATGTATGCATTCTAAGCCAACCACAGAAAAGGGTGATAATAAAACTTTCTTTAGCAAAAACTTCTGAATTTGGAACTATTTCCCTCGCTATCAGTGAAACAGAAATGTATGAGTTCGCAGTTCACATTTGTGATATGAAAATTAGATGATGCAAAATTAAGTTCACTCTGTTTTACACAAAGAACATGAAAGAAAAACCAATAAATTAAGAGGCTTCAAGCAAGAGTGGGACAGTAAGGGAATATTTTCATGTGGCATCAAATGAAAGATAAATGCAAATTCAACAAGCAAAGCTTTAAAGGAAGCCAAAAAATCAGAGGCCATCACCTTATGGGGGACCAAAAAGAAAGAAGCATGATATGAAAGTGAAGAGGGTAGAGACAAAAACCATGATGATGAATTTCGAAAAGTGTGAAGAAAATGGTGAAAACTAATGCAGTAAGTTTTATCATTCTCTTCGAGACAATTTTTTGCAATTGTGCAATTCAAAATTTTATATTAACTAAATTGTAAGAACTAGCTAAAAATTCCAAAAACTCTCAGGAGGCCTGTTCAAAACGATGGGGTTATCTTGTATTCAGAGTCAACTTATATTTGGGTAAATACACTATATTTATCTTGTGTCTGTAACTTGGCCTAAAACAAAAGGTAGTGCGATCCATTAAAGATCCTTACACCTAGTTCATGTCATCATAAGAGCTTGAAAAGTAGTTGACAAAATTATATATTAATCATAATTCTCTGATGTTTCATTTCATAGCATTTCTCAGAACCATCAAAGAGCCATTCAAATTTGGATCTTCTGAGAAATTGCTACTCTATTTAGCTGCTAATTTTAACTGATTGATTAATTTGGTATTAAACAATGGAGGTGTTTCCAAGAACCAGCACCAAATTCTGGAACATATTCATCATTGATATTAGTGGTAATAGCATAAAAAATTACACATAAGTTGTCAAGGATGAATGCATAATAACTCAGGCTATGCTCTATTAGATAGTTTGTAATTAATTACCAAGAAATTCGCTAATGAGGATGAATAGAATTAACTAAATGATTAATAACACTTGAGTTAATGGTAGAGAACAGTATACAAGGGGGATAGTATGGTGGGGAAGATGGGGTTTAATTCTCCCTGTACTTAACAATCTTTATTAGTAAAATTCATATCAAGAATATTTATACTACTGTTTACAACTATGTTAATTTGAGTGAGATAAAATTCTGTAAGTTTATAAATAATTTTGGAATCAAATGTAATTAAGGATTGTACCTCAAATAATTTAGGACCATTAAAGTCATCCACAATTAGTATGTCATTATACCAATTTTTTTGGAATGGATTATGTAATTGACACATTTCTTTAATTCGTTCAATTTAATATTTGGTGGAGTATTTCTATAAGAAAATAGTTATTATAACTCTTAATCGTTGTTGCAATTGCAACTCGCAATTGTGTCTATATTTGAATAAAGATCACGTGGATTGTGAAAATCAATTGTGTATTGAACGCTTCAGAAACGTGCAAAGGAAGATGGATTGAAGCCTGTGACAGTGTTACGGGTGCTTTATTTAGAAAACGAGGTGGGCAAAAAAAGATGCTTTTCCTTCAAACTCATACATTCATCAACATTCATTAGCAGAGTTCCAGAGTAATAAATTTTGTGCATTAAAATTCAGCAAACATTTTACACCCTTTCAAAACAAAAAAAATTGCAACAAAGTCAGTTCTACAACAGATAGAGATAGCAAATTTATATCAAAAGGTTATTAATTTTAAGAGCTATTTGGATATTACATAGAATTGTATGGTTTAGCAAAAGGTAAGAAGGACAGAGAGACAAACAAAAATTACAGATGCTACACAAGATTTTTATGGAAATCACAAAAAGTGACAGACTGAGAAATAAAGAAACTGATAACCAAGTGATAGAACAGTCTCAAAGAAATGTGTAAATGGCATGGCTCCATTGTACCTCGTCTTCTCTTGTTCTGGTTTATTCATTTTGGACAAGAACTTGACTTATCCCGTTTTACATGTGCATCTGCCAATTAGTATGTCCATGGGTTAACCTTAATCCTGGTCTCAACTCCAAACATCAAGCAAGCTAATCAGATTGTCAGTCTTTCCACCAATGAAACTGCTATTGTTTTGGAATAAAGTTGTTTCTTTTTTGTTTTCTTGTTCATAGTTGTTTTGCATAGTTACAAAGCTTCTGTAAATCTTTCCATGACTTTTCCCTCTGTGCTAGTGAGGCCTATAGGTCTGTAATTTGCGATTTGTTTGTCGCCTTTCTTTAATATCGAAATGGTTGCTGTTTTCCATAGATGTCGTAATATTCCCTCTATCTCCAATCATTTCTTGAAGATACTGTTCAACAGTGTTGCCAGTTGAATTGCAAATTGCATAAATTTGTAATATCATTAGGATCTACTGAAGAGTTGTCTCACAATCCCTTCATGGCCCTTGAAATTTCATTGCTGTTAAATAAATCACGTTCAGCCAAACATGCTTAAATTGCTTGAAAGTAGTTCCATTTCAAGGAGTTTTTATCATGATTGCCTAAATCAGTATATACCTCTGCCTATAGATGTGACAATGACTAACCTGTTGTTGCTCTCAGGGTAGAAAGGGCAATAATATTGTATGTTATCACCAGGTGTTGTATAGCTGATTTATGTTAGGTTCTAATAGGCACTTCAAAACTCAAAAGATACAGTAAATTAGGGCAGTCAGTTAAGCCTTTCAATAGTTAATAGCTAAATTTCAAGTTCAAGGCCAATTTATAGATAGTCAAAGTTAAGTTTCTTGCATATTTTAGTTCTAGTTAACTGTTCTGTAATTATTCAAATTTCAGGTTGGTGATAAGAGAAATTATATCTATGCCTATAGCATCTAAAGTATTTGCATTTATTAGATTGCACATTCAAGGCAGAAAATTAATTTCTGTGCATTCAGTCATAATCTGGGGTACGTAGGAGTTAGTCTGTTTCTTCTAATTTCCATTTAACCACAGTTTTTCCAGTAATGAAAGGATTGAAAGGCTGGAAATCATACCATCAATGGGTTTATGAGTAAATTTTAAATTGTTTATCTTCTTTATACTTCCAGTTACACTGTAAACAATTTTATCTGTAGTATGTGCAAGTTGTTGAGCGATTGAAGTTCTAATGGCTTAGTTCAATTTAGTAAACAAAAGAGAGAATGTTTTACTCTGAGTAAGTTGTATTTTCTGTTACCATGTCTACTCCCAGGTGTGATGTGTTATCTTTTTTTGGTACAATTAGTCATCTGTTCTTAGCAGTTAATAAATAAAAGGTTCTCAGAAATTTCAAAGATTCATAGGCATATACAGTGTGCACAATATCAATTCATTGATATTGTCCTAAAAACATTTATGCTGAACTGCACTTTTGTTTGAATTGCTAACTTGATTACAAATTATGTTCAATAATTTGTTTTCTGACTGCTCGAGTGCTGTTCTCTGATCTTTTTTTTAATCACCTCTCTGTTCAAAAATGGATAGCAATGTCGTATTACCTCATTTTGGTGATAACAGAAAATCAGAGAAATGATGTAGCACCTCTTAACACGGCTTTGAGGTGGGACAGTGTGGTCAGTGACCTACTTCTGTGGGTCCAATTCAGAGATTTTTACATTTCTGACATGGCACTTTCAGGTTTAGGCTTTTGAAGTGTGAAGTACAATGTGTGCCCAACAGTCTGTGTTTTTGGTGAATTTATTTTTTACTGATTGATCTTTGATAAAATTCAGCAGTAATGCTTGTTATATTGTATCAAGGAAATCCGCTGAAGACGTCAATTCTGATTCTTTTTCTGTTTTTGCACATTTTGAATACTCTGATCTTACCTAAACACATTTTACTATGGATTTGTTTGCTATGCTGTTAGTTGTTGTTTTGTTTTTTGCTTTTTTTATTGTTATAATGATGTTTGGTATGAATTTAAGAAAAACTTTGAATTTTGAATGTTTCAGGGGATACAACTCGGATATGGATGGTGGCAGCAATCGAGGCCGTGGGGGCCCTATGAGAGGTCGTGGCAGGGGCCGTGGCAGTGCAGGACGCCATAGTGAATCCAGATTTAACGCTGGTAATACCATAACAGATTACATAAACAGTATTGATGGTAAGAAGGGTCCAGGTCAGTCAACAAGTCGAGGACGAGGTGGGCGTGGTGGAGGAGAGCGAGGAAGAGGTAGTAAAGGTGCTGGGGGAGGAGCGACAGAGAAAGAGCGTAAGTGATGGTTCCCCCATCAGACTGACCCACTGGACGTACAAGGTACCCACTGATCTCTGCTTGAAACCTTAAATAACGACAAGTAAAAATACATTGCTCTCGTAAAATCTGAGAAAATTTACGGTGTCTAACTCGAAAATGAGAGTATGTTTGAACTATTTCTGCATAGTTCAAACAAGATATACAAAGCTGATTGTTTTATGATTAAATACTCATATGTGACTTCAAACACTGATCAGTATACCTGTTAGGCTGTATTGACTTCTTGGCTTTTGACTTTTGGCACTTGGATCCCAAATAATATCAGTTAGGCGGATAACAGTATTGACAATTGGCAGTATATTGATTGTATCAGAATTAACACAATAGTTATTTAAACGGTTACAAAAATAAATGTCTTCGTTATGGAATTCTGTTGTATCTGCCTTCAAGACATCATTATAAAGTTCTTGTCATTGTTATAATTATTAGGATGTGAAGCAGTGTAGATGGCAAAAAACCTTCCCTAAGAATATTTGTTGCATATTATTAACTTCAAGAAGACCCATGAAAATAACAATTGATGTGAATGAAAAAAATTATCCTAAGTTGTAGGCATGATATGGTAAGAAATATTATACTATGAGTTTGTTTCTAAAATAACAAAATTTGAAGAAAATATTTGGTTCGTGTGGATTGATTTTCTTGAATAAATAAGATTTTGTCTTCTATCATGCCATTTTTTTGCTTTTATTTTAAAATGTTTTGTTATCTTATTAAACAAACCAGTGATATTATAAAAGGAATACTATTTACAGTAGGTGTCACTTGGAGTGTGTATATTTCAAGTAATGGACGTATCTAATTTGAACAATCTTGAGTTTTCTTTGCTTTTCCAGATTATTCTAAGCCCAAATTTTCATTTGTAGGGTTTTTGTGTATGTTTCATCTAGTTATCGAATGTATAAACATTTCTTTTGTTTTCTTGTATCTGAAAGGATTCAAAAATACTCTATGAAATCTTGTTAAAAGTGCATCATAATATAGGTAAATATGTAAAAACTCCCATAATTCTGGAGAGGGTATCAAACAGTTTGTGTATGATTTGTGAAAGCAGATGAAGGGAAAAAATATTTCTTGTTTCCAATGTTCTCTGCTAGGAGAATCCTTTTATCTGTCTGTGTGAGTGTTTTTATGTTGAAAACATAGAATATCAATATCAAGTGTAATGACTTTATGACTATTAGATTTACGGCAATGAATATGGTGCAGCATATTTTCTCTAAAAGGTGTTTGTGTACGTAGTGAATTTCTGAATGTTTTTCTTCATGTAACTGTACTACTTGAAATATTTCATAAAAGGATGAAATAGATATATTCATCTTGGTTTTCCCTAATTAACAACTTTTCTGCTATCCTTGAATTATGTTATTGTATTTTGTTTTGATTGTTTATAATCAGTTTTGATTTTTCAGTTAGCTGTAATGTTAAACAGTGTGTTCTTTTGGTAATGTAAATAGGTAGAAAAGTGCAGTGAAAGAACTACGTAAATTGGGTGTTGGGGTTTAATGTCAGCCATGTTACATGGCATACTCTTCAGTGTTCATGTTCATTTTAGAGACCTTGGTAATCTAATAATCCTTACAATCCTAGTGTATTATTTTACTTCTTTTAGTGTTACCAGTTCTTCATGTTTAAAATATAATTTCGTGTAAAGTGATTTTCTGGAATGAAATTGAATTAAATTGAATTGCTGGCGTGTTATGAGGAGTAGATATGAAAACTAGAAGAAAAAATGCTGCACACCAAACCAACTCCTAACACTTCATTCTCGATTGTAGGCTTTATTATAATGTTTATAATATCAATATTGGGGATTGACACAAATGCAGTGTTTCATGAAATAATCTTGACATGTTAATTTTCTGTTATTGGAGCGTTCCACAAAAAAATGAATACTGGCAAGATATTACACTTTAAAATATCTAAAATAGTACTGGAATGACCTTTCTGAAATATTGTATAATAGTAATTTTTATTTGATATATGTATGATTAATTTCTGTGTACTAAACCATAAGTGTAATATTCATTTTTTTGTGGCATTCTTTCTATGGTTTTGAATGTAATCATGTTAATTTTTGTGTTCTATAAATGTGAAATCAACATCTTTGTACTTTAAACATGAATCAACTGCATTTGAATGGAGGTAGGGAAAGCAACTTCATTAATAGGGTAAGTCAGGATATTGCTTGGACATGAAAAAAAGGCCAAAAAGTAAATTAGAAAATTGAATTTTACTTTGTGCTTTTTACTCTCAGGGATTTATCTTGATGTAAATAATTATTAGAATGTGCAGATAAGGATTCAATTCAAGATGAGTGAAACAAAGGAACATTGCAGTCATAAAAGAAAGTACTGAAGATACTTTTCCCTACCTCCAATTTTTTTAATTTTTTTTTCACTGGCTAAACTCTTTGCTCCCTGAATATGAGAGAAAATGAAATACCAAGCTGGAAGGGTAAGCCAAGATAAACTGTGGCTTTTAGCTCAAGAACTACGGATTAACTTCTGAGCACGTGTGGACTTGCTGGCCAATCTTTGTGTTTACAGAGCATAAGAAAATGTGTACTAATAATACAAAGGCCACATTTGTTTAATGATCTTACTAAGAACTAGAAAAGAAGAAAGAGGAAAACAAAAATGTTGCCAGTTTACTGACTTGTGGGCATTTTTCGTATTATCGTACCTCTTTATTATTTACAGAAAATTTTCTATGAAATAAATAAAATCTGTACAGTGATCAAACAGAGTGTCTTATTAATTACATTGTAAGCCTCTGTTGCAGAAGTTGCTGAGTTCTGACTCGAAACTTGTGCTACCCTTTCAGCTGGGGGTTCAGAGCTTTTTTCAAATAGCCAGTATCTGTGTAGCGCAGTGTTCTTTTACAGTTTACGAGTGATATTTTAAGTATTTACTAACCTTAACTTCTTGCATGTTTGTATTACTTGTATGAATCTGTGGTGCAGCATATTACTTTTTTGCATGGTGAAATGACTTGGAAAGCCAAAAGATTTTGGGAGCTCAAAAGCCTGAAAGGGTATGCATATATTCGAGTCCAACTTGCAACTAACTTGCATCACAGCACAATTCCCTCATCCTATGTTCCCTAGTGGAATAAAGCTTAAAAATGCAGGGGTTTGAGCATGATGACTCACTCAATTTTTGCTATTTTCACCCTGAATTAAAAGAAATTAAATGAAGGATAATCTGAAGTGCAAGCTTGGAAAGCAAAAACAAAATTATTTCTTTTCCCTTTTTTGTGGTAGAGTGTAGTATTTTATAAACTGACAAAATTTCTGGAAAATAAATTTAATCAATAGTGTTTCCTGACACTTGGGTTGTGTTGGTAAGGAATTAAAATTTTCCTTGGATTAGAATGTAATAAAAACCGCATTATACACAGAGTAAAAGATTAACACATCAGATATATTCTAAATCTAAAACACTATGGGCAGAAATCATGTATACCAGCACTTTTCTTTCTGTGGCATATATTAATAAAGTAATACAGTTGGAACTACTTTTCTTCTGAGCTCCCAGAAAATTGGCTCTAAAATATAGTATATTTTAAAATATGCCTAAACCACAATATAAACCTCTACAACTCTTTAATTGAATTATTAATTTCTTGCCAGGTATTAAGAAATATTTTAAATGTGTATATAAAATAGTGCAAAGATTTACTAGAGTGAGCAAACAAAAAATAATGTAAAGTTTTTCAGAACAGATATTGTATTGTCATTTGCAATTATGGGATAAACTTTTTGCACGAGTCGAGTTATTGAATTCTCAGTTTCTGCTTTATGTGATTTTGAATGTGCTGCAGGACATCCATGGACAAGGTTAATCTGTCAAAACCTAAATTCAACACTTGTAATTGCTTTTGTTCACAGAGTAAATGGGGACATTGCCTTTGCCTTTTTGAGTTATGAACTAAAATATTGGTGAGGGAGTAACAAAATATGTGAGAGAGAGTTTTTTCCTGAATAATTGAGGTTGGGGTGAATTATAATTGGGCTATCGAACACTTCATAGCATCGTTCAGGAGGAACCAGGAAATTTCCATTACATTAACTATTTTTCTCAGGATCTAGGCATGCTACTCCAGACACAACTGATGAGAGAGTCCGAGATCTTCCTCCACGTCAGCATCAGTATCAAACTGGTCCACGTCAAAATCAGTCTCGCCAGCCTGCACGTCGTGATCATCGACGAGATGAGCGTCGTCGTATGACTGATGATGAGGATACTGTAATGGATAGCCAAGATGTTTCAAGTGTGGATCGGGGTGAGTTTCTTGTGATTTATACTATGTTAATTGTTTATAGAGTTTTGTAAGTTTTTTCTTTGTTAGTTCAGTGTTTATCATAGTGCATCATATTGACATTAAAAATAGTTCACTTCTTGTCAGATAATGTCACATAATTGTTGAATTTGAAATCCATTTCCACACATATGATATATTATTTGCTTATTTCAGTTCCATTTATTTATTTATTTATTGCCTCCCTTTCAGTGTTGTGGGTTGTTGCATGTTTGTAAATGTGTTTTTAATCAGTTAATGTCCCGTTTATGTCGAAGTACGTCTCATAAGCAGTGAATGGTGCATATATACTAATTTATTGTACTTGATTCACTTTAAAAAATGTCGTTTATCTGAAGTGGAAGCTTATTGTACGTGGAAATCTCATTTCGCTAATGAATCATTTTGCAATGGAACATTTTCAGCTCGTAAATACATAAGGGCGTGCGTGCGTGCGCGCGTGCTTGTGGGGCCACACACAGAGATAATGAACTATGTGATACCTTTGTGCTTTCCTAAATGGTACAAATATTTTTTTCCCCTATATAATATTTTCTTATGAAATTGATTCCTACTTCTGTTCTTTCTTTTTCGTTTTTTAGTTAATGTAATGAAAGAGAATTGAACACTATAGCACAGATAAGATTTCATTCAGTACAATCCATGGTGGTAATACAAACTACAAGTAACATACCATAAAATTTCATTATTTGTTGTTGCCTTGTTTTGTTAAATGTTTTGCTTGTGGAATTTAGGTGTAGTCTGGGTATCGATACATAGTCTAATAAATTTTAGTTTCTTGCACTACTTAGTAAGAAGGGAAAGTTACGTAATCATGCTCCGGAAAACGGCGAATTTTCGACAGAAAAGCTCTTATTGCCGAACCCTGGTGATGAAAAAGTGGATAAATTATGTTGTTATATATCTTCCTCTAACACGTAGTGAAGCCATAATCTATGTTTAGTTGGCGCTTGATAGCTACAAATCGTTTGAATACAAAATGTCTGTGGTGAACGCTAGCGCCAATACCGTGCAACAGATTTCCTCAAAGAGCGATCTAAACGAACTCACGGCTTTGGGAGTTTCAACCGGAAATTTTGATTTTTGAGGGGTTTTTACAGGAAGCATCGAAAACCATTTTCACTATTTTCTTAGAAATGGCACCAAGTTTTTTGATTGTGCTTTGTCCTCGGATAGTGTAAAGAACACTTAAGAGAATGAAGCAGGTCTCATGTTCGTTGAAATCCCTGATTTATGTATTTTTTTTCCTCGAAATTTGCGAAAGTGCAATGTTTTTTGGAGCGTCGTCTTACATCTATAATATTGAAGATGGTGTTCGTTCTTAATGAAATTTGTTGTTTGGCAGTTATTAGAACAAGGCAAGGTTGAAAATACTCATATTTTCACATAATTTTGCACGAAATATGGCAATTTTTAATTTTGTTAAACATGTTTTCTTATAAAACTGCACAGAGTATTTTCTTAAAATTTTCATGTCGTATGTATCAAGGGACGGTAAAAATAGTGCAAATCTATTTGTAGCGAACTCGCCATATTTACACAAAAGGCCCCCAAAAATTTCTGGCTCCAAATCATTTACGTCACCTCTCCACTCAGATAAAGCAAAGGATACTTTAAAAAATTGCAGAAGTTCCAAATTATCACCCTGTTTGCTGGTAGAATTACTTTTTTTTTTTTCCCCCTAAAATATTCTTGAAAGGGGCAAATTAATGCGACATTATATAGTATTTTTCAGTGAAAGAAAATTTGTTTGGATAATTCATTAGTCATGTAATTATTATTCACGCAAGGTCCATTACTGACCATGCAAATACATTCCTCTCTCCGAGGTCCGGTTGTATCCTATACTGGAGCGATCATGTGGAATTATGGGGATCAGCCTTTCGGCTGCATATGAAGGTTGTTAGCCCTGAATATTATTATTATTATTATTATTATTATTATTATTATTATTATTATTATTAATTTAAATTAAGTATTTTTCAAAATTATTTTCACTTTCTCATTACATATAGTGTCATCGAATAACTTTCTAGAACCAATCTTGAATGTGGCCAAATAGTCCAAGAATTCATATTCGCCATTACAAATGCACTCTTGCACAAATTCTCACTGCATCAGAGCTGCGCATCTATAGCACGGGAGTGTGAGCTAGAGCTCTTAGTAGGAGTATTTGGCCATGCAGGTATCACTCGCGCAACTTTTCTTGAACTACGGATGGAAGAAATGCTGATAGAGTGGGGGTATTAGTTGAAGTCGTAGGCTTCCGCGGCCAGTCATGTGGGTGAATAGACCAGATCACCCAGAGTGAGGGTATTAGTTACGAAAACGGCACTTCATTTTATGAAGCGATGCCAAACTCTGGAGAATCAGTCATGCCTTGTCAACATTGTCATCAATGTCAACAATTTTCGTTCTTTCTCAGTAGTTCGAGGTATCTCTTGTGATTGTTTCCATTTCTCTAAGATGTGTGTTTGGAACGTTGTCCTCAGTGCTCGCTGCGTCCTTTTGCCGTCAACTATTTATTGAGCTAGGGAGGAGAAAGCAAGGTCATCGTTCAAGAAAGGTTGCGAAAGTAATTCCCAAGACTCGTATATGCGGGTATTCTAACAGGTCATACCCACCCGCATTCATACGGGTACCCATATAATACGGGCCATTACCGCATAAACGAAACAGGGAAGTAGCGGAACAAAATAAAAAAAAAATCGAGAGAAGGGTTTCCGGGGTTCTTAACTGCTGTTACCGTTTCATAATTGCTCCCCTTGTTATTCGTTGCAGCTTTGCACCTAGTAATTATGTACGTTACAATACGTTATGTACGTATTCTCTGCAGTCCTCGCTACACTTGTTTGGCCTCGGACTCTTCTAGACGGGCAGTCGGGAGCCACCCAATCGGCTTGGGTTAGGTTTTGTACTGAGCGGGGGTGCCATGGCGATGCAGCGCTGTCATCCCACCACTGTATCCCCGTGGCAACCATGGAGACGAATCTAATATCCTCTCCGTGGATACCAAAACTTCTCCCCACGCCCTCTTCCGTAAGGAGGAGACTAGCTAGTGAAACTGTCGATTTAGATTTTTTTTAGCAAAGATTGTCATGCCGATGAAGGTCCGCTTCCTTGTGTCCGGTAGTGATGAGAGAAAAACGATTGAAGTGTGTCAAAGACATTAAACAGGGCTGAGAAATTGAGAAGTTTGGCAAGTTACAGGTGGCGGTTGGCCAGAGAAATGGCCCAATCGTTTACGAATTTCGTACTGACGACCTGATAAAAAAAAACAAAAAACTCAGCGATAAAAGATGTAGCTTACCTCCAGGAACCCATGTCCACCCACCCGGCCCTCAACCTCTGCAAAGGTGTGGTGACCTCTGCAAGGGTATGGTGAACCACGAGGACCTCTCATCCGAAACGGAAGATCTGAATGCCTTCTTTCTGGCTGAAGATGTGACTGACATCGACAGGATCCAGACTCATCCCTTACCTCAACACTGATACTGACATTCGATCGACAATTTCTGCCGGAGAAAATATCACGTGGCTTTTGCTCTTCCGCGTCTGGCAGTATGTTCCTGATCCTCTGCGCCGTATAAATGCCAGATGTTCGGACATACGCCACTCCATTGTCTGAGTGCCGCAGTCTGCATACATTGTCGAAAATTATGTAACGATTCAAACTGCTCCTCAGATTCAGTGTGTAAACTGTTCCGCGAATCACTCGTGAAACTCGAACCATTGCCCCCTTCATGAATGAAAAGGAAATTCAGAAGGTCCGGGTCTGAGGTTTCTTTTCCTGAAGCACACGACGTCGTTACCAGTTGCCCCTGTCAATATGGTTTGAAGATTCACCACCACCGTAGGTCTCTCGCCGTAAGAATACGTCAAATTGCGAAAACCAGACACCAAAATGTTACCATGTGCGCGATGCTGCCTGTTACGTGTCCTTGGAAGACAATGCGTTGATTCAAACACCGAATACCCTGCCCAATTTGAAACGAAAAGGAAAAGACAACTATAATTGCTTCAACAAATACACAAAGGCATTAACTCGAGGATTCGAAGCCGTAAGCCCCCATCTCTAGAACCCGGACGCTTGTATTGTAAGATCATGAAGATAACCCTACACATGCGATTCTCTCAGCAGTCAAGACGATTCTGCAGGGACGAAGAGTCCCCCCATGAAATCGTTTTTCACACCTCAATAGAGGAAAAGAAACTTGTCACAAAAATCATGGTTCTCCTCACTCGGAATCTGTGACCTCCGTACTCGTTTCGATGAGTTGAAATTGATAATCTTTCGATATAGTCCTGTTATTTACCTGCAGGTTACATCAACATGTGAAGACAGGTGAAGTGCCCTTGATAAAAATATACGTGAAGGCAAAACGTTTTGAAGAGCCTATCTTCCTTCTTTCTACTCCTAAAGTGGTTGGCGAAAGATCCGTCAAATTGGGGGACGACTTCCCCTTCCGAACGTCCCAGGGTTGCTGGTGTACAGAAATCTCATCACTTTCCCAGAATTCATGGGAGAGCAACAGGCGTCTCACAATGAGAATGCGAAGGTTGCCTTTTATGTTTCGGGATTTGGCAACCCTAGTGTTGCAATCT